AGCGTGTAAATGAGGTTAACGCACTGACGGAAGTGGAAGATCATCATTCACCGATATTAGCCACATTTGAGTGGCATGGAAACAATACAACCGAGGCCAACATCAAAACAAAGGCATTCAATTTCAAGCGTGCCAACTATAAGTACATGAATGCACACTTTGCAAATATTAACTTCACCGAATTATTCCATGGAAAGACAATCATCGAGAAGGTGAACTTGCTGCACAAGACTTTGGACGATGCAATCATCAAATTTGTGCCTACTTACATCGTCAAGTCGATACAAAAATGTCCAGGGAAAAATAAATTCCTAATAACACTGAAAAATAGGAAAAATAAGGCATGGAAACGCTACAGAAGATCAGGCTATCATCAGTCGTTTGAATGGAAATACATTTTGGCGTCTCGTGAATTCGATAAACTCAACACGGAACTCTACAACACATACGTGGAGAAAATGAAATCCTCGCTCAAGTATGACGCATCGAGATTTTGGCAATATGTCAATTCAAAGAAGAGCACCGACAACAAACCAAAAGTCATGCAATTTGGTGATGTGCGCACAGCAAACGAAACAGAACAGGCCAACCTGTTTGCGAACTTCTTCAGTAGCAACTACGATGACTCAACGACTCAAGGCGTTCAACAATCGCCTACCGATGAGTCACACCAAACTGAGGAATTCCAGCTCGACATCAATTTCGTGCTTGAAGAGCTGCAAGTCGTGAACACAAAGAAAGGTACGGGTCCCAACGGTATGCACCCGTTGATACTGAAAAACTGTGCGAGTCATTTGGCGGCTCCACTCACCGAGATTTTCAATGAATCATTGTCAACTGGCCATTTTCCTGACAAATGGAAACGCTCGAGTGTGTCACCTATTTTCAAAAAGGGGGCGAGATCGAAAATTGAAAACTATCGTTGCATTGCTAAGCTCCGAACTGTGGCGAAGTTCTTCGAGCATTTGGTGAACGTCAAACTTCTGTCTCTGGTACAGGACAAAATCACCAAAAAGCAACACGGCTTTCATCTGATTACTTTATAATGGAAACTACCGTTTGTGTCAATGTATTTGCGAAAATCAGAATACTTTTCTATGTCTTTCGGTCTCTACTAAATTGTAAATTTATATCTACCAACAGGGACTTGTTAGACTAGACTTTTCTTCAATATATCACTTCTCTGATAAATTGAAAGAAGACTTTTGCAGTCATTAAGGCCGACAATAATATGTTTAACGCTCCAGTTAGTCTATCTTTTCTTAAAAGCGTTGTTAGATTATCTTGAACCGTTGAGTATTCGGCTTACTACTCATTTCCTTGTATTGGTTAGGTGTCTTTGTGTTAAATTTTATAGACCAAACCCTAAATTCAAATCGAGAAAGACTACTATAACTATCTATTGTATGAAAATACCCTATATTGTACAAACACAAAAAGATCAGGTTTTTCACGACTCTTGGAGTCGTTTTCCTGCAAACCAAAATATTCAGCCAGTTTTTGGCGGTGTGAAATGAATAAATGAAGTGAAATGAATAAATGCATTGTTCTTGCATGCATTGGCTATGGCTGAAGCTGGTAGAACCTCTACTCGAGTCTCGCTTGGATGCACTCACGTGATAAAACCAAAACAAAGTCATAAGCTCTGAGGTCCCGCTAACTGAACATAGATGTCACTCAATCGAATATGAAAAGCTCCGAACATGCAAAGCAGTTCGCCTACATGTATAGAATGCATATGACTCAAAAGTACGGTTGTCTGAATGAGCACTCAATTAGTTCAGAATACAAAGCAGCTCTTTTGTACTAAATTAAATATTAATACTGTTAAACGGTGAACGTAATACCGAACCGTTTACACCACAGCACTCCACAGCCTTATTTCTAAGGCTGAGTACACACTCGCTAGTAAAGAATATATGATATCCACTTTTATGGATATTGAAGGAGCATTTGATAACGTGACGTTCGAAGCAATCAACAATACATTGTGGATTGCGGTGCTGGCACGGCGGTGAGCGCGTGGATAAAATTCATGCTATCGCACAGGACAATAAATTTCTATCACTAAGTTGAATAAAACGACAGCTATCGCCACTAGGGGCACGCCCCAGGTTGGTGTTCTGTCACCACTACTTTGGATAATAGTCATGAATAGTCTATTAAAAAAACCACAAGCACATGGCTTTGAAGTCATTGGTTACGCAGACGATCTTCTCATTTGTTGCCGGGGCAAATTCCTGAGTAGCCTTTCTGATAGGACACAAAACGCCGTTAAATTGGTGGAAGATTGGTGTCTCGAAGTGGGCCTCAGAGTGAACCCAACAAAATCTGAAATAATCATTTCTACAAAAGGCAGGAATCTAACTGGCTTCAGGGAACCAATTCTTTTTGGAGAAAGAATATCGAGAAAAGAAGAGGTGAAATATCTTGAAGTCATTTTGGATCCAAAGCTGAATTGGCGAAAACACATTGAATACAGGATTGATAAATGCCTCAGAGTCTTTTGGTGGTGCAGAACGGCCAATGGAAAGACATGGGGGTTAAATCCAAAATGCATTCTCTGGCTATACTCCTGCATTGTCAAACCAATGATAGCATATGGTGCTTTCGTCTGGTGGCAAGGCACAAAAACTGTAATAGCCAGAGCAAAGCTAAATCACGTATAGAGAATTGCCTGCTTATGTGCATTGAGCACAACACCCCAAGCGGCACTCGACACTCTTTTACCCCTACCAAAGATTGAAGTGTTTATCGAATCTGTGGCACGCAAAACGGCCTACAGACTAAAATCCTCCATTAGCTTCAACCCATACATAAGAAGTACACACACTGAGGCGCTTGATCAACGACTGTCTATGGATAGTAATCTGAGCGCCCTTCAGACAGACTCCCCAAACCAGCATATATATTTGGGAGAATCTTTGAAGTTAAATGCACAAGAGATTTGAACGACTTCTGCCAAGAGGTACAGTGGGCGGACACAGCATTTTTCACAGATGGATCCTTGAAGAGTGACTGTGGAGGCTACGGTGTAGAAGTAAACAATTCGGTCTCGATGGGTAAATACGTCACGGTAAAACAGTTAGAAATTACAGCAATCACTGAATGTGGCCGGTTGATATTAGAGAATGGCACGACAGGCAAGAATGCTATCTTCACAGACAGTCAAGGAGCCATTAAAGCTCTAGAAAACTGTATGATTAGTAGCGATATTGTTCTGCGTTGCCGTTTAACTTTAGAAAGAAAAGCTGAAATTTGTGATGAGTTACGACTGGTATGGATTCGTGCGCACTCTGGTATACGTGGAAATGAAGCTGCAGATGAGCTGGCGAAAGCAGCAGCGTCTGTAAGGGTCGTTGGACCTGAGCCATTTTTACCAATTGACTACTCAGTTGTCAAACGGAAAATTGAGCTCTGGTTAAAGGAACACATTGACATGAATTGGAGGGCCACAAATTCAGGAAGCCAGACGAAAGCCTTCATAAACTCACAATCCGATAAAAATACGAAACAGCTGATTAGTTTAGATAAACCATCTCTTAGAATTGCGGTAGGCCTCTTGACAGGACACGCGAAGGTGAATTACCACTTGAAGAAGATGGGCGTACGAAATGATCCCGACTGTAGACTATGTGGCAGAGCTGAAGAAACGACTTCACACTTGTTGTGCGAATTTTCTAGCCTACGCATGGTCAGGAAGCACTGTCTTGGTAACGAACAAACACAACCTATCACGATTCAAAACAATATTTACAAAATCATTGATTGGTTTATGGTTTAGAATGGCTTGCGAGTATGACTCCAGGTATGGTCGTAAACGGGCGTCTCGCAATAGACTGAATACAGCCTGAGCGACGAGTTTCTCGGAACTCCCCGTACTATCCATTAATCCATTAATCCATAGAGGCTCGTCCAAGCTGTCAGAAGTTTTGAAACAGAATCCGAGGGTCGAATCATCACTTATCAGCTTCGTGAAGAAAGTAAAACAGAGATAAATGGCCAAAAATGAACATACTTATTTTTGACCATTCTAAAGTCGAAAGAAATCACGTCCATGACAGAGTCAAATACACTTTACTCGCAATCTTTCATTGTAATGATAAAAATATATTTGTATGTCTTTTTATTTCTATCCTTTCCATTTTTTCCTTCACCTACACAAGGTAAAATGACGAAATACTACTATTGGTTTTGTTGATTATAGTATATGTGGAATTGTGGAGCTTTGAATACACTGAGCTGAAATTTCAATAGTCCACTTGATTAATTATAATAATAGATTATTTATTCCATATTCTGTTCTGAACAAAGAAATAATGTTAATTTAATTCAATTCATAATAATAATTAAAAAAACAGCAGTACTATAATTACACCAAGAAGACACAGAAAAGCTTTGCTGCGCATAGACAGTTTTTTCCACTGTTTGATGTGTTACGTACAGACAGGCCTTTTTGCACACAAATAAACACTTCTCTGTTTCAACCTACATCAGTAGTTATTCTCATAGCATGTAATGCAGCCATAGCATTTACAACGTGTACAGCGATTATCATTTTTTGAATAGTATATCATTCATAAATAAAAAAAATTGCACAATCTGTTTAGTAGTGATATTAAAAATTGATTTTTGTTCCTCTCATCTTTCAAAAATATATATTCATTGGAATTGATAAGAAATATTTCAATTTGAGAATATGTCTACAAATATTGTTGAAACCTGCTTATCGATTAAATAAGAATGTTAGACATTTAAACGCAGAAAAAATTTGTTTCCAATGTTATTTGATTCAGAAAATTCAAGAAGAAAAAGGACATTACTTCAGAAACATGCTTCCAGTGTGGTTGTATTTTTTCTTTGGACTAACTACATTAGTGCTATCGTCGGCAAATAATGTTTTTACCAATTCTTTCTTGGTGAAATTTCAACAAAACATCAAAAACAATATCGCACATGAAATCGCATTACGTAATGGATTCGAAAATGTGGGAGAGGTAGGTGTTGATAATTTGTTCATCCTTCTGATTAAAATATATTCTTCAAAGACTCCGAAATATTATTTGGAAAATCTGTATAATATTACACATATATTAATCATATCAACGCGTGTTTCTTCTCCAAAACTTGAAAAAATATATATTTTTGGTCCCTTGATGACTGTCAATATGGTAACATGAACTCATTGCAGACTACCACATCATATACAATTAATGAGATGAGGGTTAAAATACGACTACGTCATAATCGATATATAAATATCCAATTCCACGACATATTGCTTCTTATGTTAGCCCGTATGATTGACAAGTTTTCAAAACTACAAAATATTGATGAACTTTCTCTAATATATAATATATAATTTATTTACTATTAAAAATATTTTGAAAATTCAAATAAAATTACAGCTCTCTGGAAGTAGTGGAAGAGAATATCATTTTAAACACAAAATTCTTCATCACGCTCGCACAAGAAGAAGCATAACTCATACACGTATACTAAAACGTGAACCATTGGTGAGTTAACAAATAATATATGGTCCTTTATTTTAATAAAGCTATTGTTGAAGTTCTATACGTTTTTGGAAGGATTTATTCCAGAAAGTGACCTTTTTTGCCGATATACACAGTTTTCGCAAATTGAGTGCAAAATATTTGAAGAACAACTTATGAGCTCTATATCCATAACTGAGACGGGAAAAAACTTAGAGCCAAAAAGAGACAACTAAAGTTGACACAACTCAGCATTGAGCGGAAAAGACGTTTTTTGCATTTTTCTCGCTACTGAAAATAGATAACGATTTGGTGTCTTCGGCATTATTGTTGAAAATAAAAAGAACTACAAATGAGACGAAGACACCTAGTCGCTATCCCTTTCCAGTAGCGTGAAAAGTGCAATAAACGTCTTTTCCGCTCAATGCTGAGTTGTGTCAACTTTATTTGTCTCTTTTTGGCTCTAAATTTTTTTGCGCCTCATATATGGATATGGAGCTCTTTGCTCATAAGTTTTTCTTTCATTCTTTGGGTCTCATTTTCACCACGTATTGCTCACGCCTTCTACAACTTTTAGAAGGTGTGGATTGTGGAACCAACATTCAGACTGCAAACAAACGTGTTCAATATATTTTTCAACACACTAAGTGTCTTAAGTAGGCAGCCACCAATACAGTGAGTTTTCCTGCATATAAAATGAGCCACTATATACATGTGAATCGGAAATAGTGAGTCTGTTCGCGGAATTTTTCTCGTCAGTCTTTTGTGGGGAAAAAAACGATACTGAAATAAATAGAATATTGAATGAACTGGATGATCAAACACAAACTGTCATAACTGAAAAGACGTTTATGATGCAATGAAAATTTTTCCGACAAATAAAGGTATCGATCGGTGTTGACAACTTCTCGCCAGTTATCATAAAGAACTGCAGGTTTACACTGGCGAAACCAATTACACTTTTGTTTATTAATGCTGATTTCAAGTGCTCAAACTTTAATTAAAGTTCAAAGTCTAAATTTTTGCTAGTGGATATTTTTGAAATTTTTCGTTGCTATGAAAATTGTTGGGCCCAATAATGATGTTTTGCATCAAAACATCCGAAGGTTTCATTAATTTTTTGGTTTTATTTGAGATTCTTCGTTAAAGTTCGAACTTTAATTAAAGTGCGAACTTTAAATTTTTTTTTCGTTTTTTCGCTTTTGGGCGGTTTTATTGATATAATGGAATGAATTAGGACAATTAATGATGATCTGGCGCAAAAGCCGTCAAGAATTTACCTATTTTTTGGATTTTTTTCGATTTAGAAAATTTTTCACGAAATTTTTTTTTTCGTTTTTCCTGGCATTTTTCGAGGAATTGCAATGCGATTGAACATATTTGGACTAAAGCTGTCAACGGACAAGAAGTTGTCCGTCCGTCCGTCCGAAAA